TAAATAAACATATATCATTTAAGTGAAGTTTTCTCATCTGCTGTGGCAATGATCCCTCCAAGAACCAAAGACCAACAACACCAGGCATGGGTTGTCATTCAGTTTTGCCCAAGAGACTCCCCAAAACATTATAAACTTTTGCTATTGCCCTTGGTTGCCCTCCAGAGGATCACACTTCACACACCACGCACTTCAGACACAGTGTCCCGGAACTGGAACTGACCTGAATGCCTCCTCCCTGGGGACTAGCTTTCATGGTACCAGAAGGTGTCAAACAAGATTCCAAAGGAGGGGAGCAACTGTCAGTCCTACTCAGCTACGATGCCTGTGACCCACAACAATGGCCAGCACAGAAAGAAAACCCCACTGGTGCAGTAGCAGCATGAGTCCCTTAGTGGTGACCATCAACTCTCCAATGGACTTAAGACCTGTTCAACAAGAGAGAAACCATGACTGGTGCCAAAAGCTAGCCAACTACCCAGGGATGATGAAGCCGTGCATCTTGGAGAAGAACTACAGCCACCATTTTACTAAACCAACATAACCCCTAACTACATTCTAAATGTTCATCCTTATACCCACAGATAAGTGCAGTTCTCAGCCCACATCAAAGAAAGTTCTCTTTGCAACAGACACAGACCATTACCAAAAACCATAACCAATCAAAATGCAGAGTTTCGGAGCCTGATCCAAATGGATACATCTGCAAAACAGTACTACCCCTAAGGCTCAGGGAACATTGTAGAAGGGAGTATGGATAGACTGTAAGGGCCAAAAGATAGGGGAGTTTTCTCTGTCTTTGTGATAGCAGAAGCTACCTAAAGGCTCACCCACACGACCACCTAAACAGGGACTGAAAAGAGAACATTAAGTGGACATGTGAAAAATTATGGGGCATCAAAGCTACACAAAGAATTACAGCCAGGCGGTGGTGGCGCACGCCTTTAATCCCAGCACTCGGGAGGCAGAGGCAGGCGGATCTCTGTGAGTTCGAGGCCAGCCTGGGCTACCAAGTGAGTTCCAGGAAAGACGCAAAGCTACACAGAGAAACCCTGTCTCGAAAAAACCAAAAAAAAAAAAAAAAAAAAAAATTACAGACAACAAAGGAATGCTCGGAGTGGGAGAAAATGTCTTCTATGGGGAAAAGCACACCAATTGGTTATTCAAGACCAAATGGTCAGCCTCAAAACATACATACGAGTGACATTATTCCTGAGCAGTCAGATCTAGGAATATGTGTATATGTACATACATCATGTAACAACAATCTTTCTTTTAAAAAGGACACGAATTTGAAAGAAGACAAGGAGGGGTGTATAGGAAGGTGTGTGTGTGTGTGTGTGTGTGTGTGTGTGTGTGTGTGTGTGTGTGTGTGTGTGTGTGTGTTGGGGGGTATCTCTTCAACCTTCGTGGGCAGCAGAGAGAAGAGCCACGGGAGGTAAGAAAACAATTCAGTACAACATAACTCTGCAGCCAGTGTTGGTTCAAACTTCAGAAGTCTGACCCAGATTATTTTATTTTAGGCTTATTTAAACACAGCAGAATCTGGTGAAAACTATTCTTGTGATGATTAACCCAGTCCCCCATTCACAACAAAGCACACCTAAATCACTTTGAGGAACACAGTAGGCTAAATACAGATCAGATATGACTACATCGAAACTCTTCATAAAGTCCACGTGGCACCTTCCACAGAGATGGATTCTATAGATTGAGGAAAACAAGTTGACGAGAAGGGTCTGGAGCAGGGTCCTGTGCTTCAAAGTCTCCAGCCACACACTGGAGAAAGATCACCCAGCTAGAAAGCACGTCTGCTCCAGCCTTCTGGGTGGAAAACTGATGTTGCCTCCCTTCCCTTGAAGGAACAACTTAACATTCCAGGCTCCCCAGTGCAGGTCTGTGAGCACAAGGAGCTCTGAGCCCCTACGTGTTTGGAGGGAGGAAAGGGAAGTGCAAATGATGCGACTGTATTATAAGAATTTTTCTTTAATTTAAAGGAGCCAAATTAAAGGTGGAACACAGAAAAAGGAGATTTATTCAATGTGGCCCTGTTAGGAGGAGGGACAAAGAGATCCAGAAAAAACGCTTTAGGTCAGCGGTTCTTAGCCTTCCTAATGTGTTAAAGAACCTTTTAACACAGTTCATGTGGAGTGACCCCCCCATCATCAAATTATTTTCTTTGCTACTTCACAACTGTAATTTTGCTACTTTTATGAATCATAATGCAATTATCTGTGTTTTCTGATGGTCTTAAGTGACCCCTGTGAAAAGGTCTTTTGATGGCCCAAGGGGCCGCACCCCACAGGTTGAGAAACACTTCCTTTAATCCATCTTCCTAATTAAATCCCTAGAACCCACGTTAAAAGCTAGGTGCCGCCGGGGGGTGGTGGCGCACGCCTTTAATCCCAGCACTCGGGAGGCAGAGCCAGGCGGATCTCTGTGAGTTCGAGGCCAGCCTGGGCTACCAAGTGAGTTCCAGGAAAGGCGCAAAGCTACACAGAGAAACCCTGTCTCGAAAAAAACAAAACAAAACAAAAGCTAGGTGCCGTGGCATGCACCTTTATTCCAGCAGTCCCACAGGTAGATGAGATGGGAGGTGCAGATGTAAGAACTGCCTGGGAGCCTGTGGGCCAGCTAACCCGGGGTACAGAGCCCAGCGGCAACAGTAGTGAGAGAGGCCCTGCTTCCACAAGGTGGGAGACGGGGACCAAGTCCCAGAAGATGCTCTCTGACCTCCACTTGTGGCATATGCATTGTGGCATGCGAGTGCAAGCACACACACACACACACACAAGCACGCACACACAATTGTTTAAAAAAAATACAAGCTAGAGATGGAGGAATGGCTCAGTGGTTAAGAGCCCTGGCTGCTCTTCCAGAGGACCTGGGATTGATTCCTAGCACCAATATGGCAGCTCACAACTGTCTGAAACCCCAGTTCCGGGGGATCTGATGCTGCCTTCTACCCTTTATGAGCACCAGGCACACACATGGTGCACAGATGTATATTCAGGTAAAATACCCATATACATAAAATATTTTTTATTTAAATGTAAAAAAAAAGAAACAAAAACAAAAAGAGAGTTGCCTATAATTGGGATCTTGGAACTAGGGAAACAAGGAGTGATTTAACACAGGGTGTCTTCAGGTTGCCTCAGTTTTGCTTGCTTGGTTGGTTGGTTGGTTGGTTGGTTGGTTAGTTGGTCACTTGATTGGTTTTATAGGGTTAGTGACCAAAGTGACCAACCCAGGCAGGCTGAGAAACGGTGACTGGCCTGATAGCACCTGTGGGCGGTCAGGACCCGGCCACTTCTGATAAAAGGATTGACAAACTGACCTCCATTGGTATCTACCACTTTAAGTCTGCGGGAGCACTGCCCTGCAAGTGGACTGTTCCATCCCCAAAGTCCCCTTTCCCGCCCTATAAAACCTCAAGGCCCCGGCACCCCGTATACACAGTCTCCATTCCCTTCAGAGGTTCTGATTAACGAACAGTTCTGCTTGTCCAGAGGCCGGTCTCTGTTTTCTTTAATTTCCAAGTCACACCTGCCTCCTTAGCGCAGTAGGCAGCGCGTCAGTCTCATAATTTCCAAGTTACCTCTATCAGTCCTGATCTAACAGGTTTGGCATGTTTTAGGGTTTTGTTTGGGTTTTGTTTTTTAAGATGTCACATTCTATAGCCCAGACTGTCCAGAAACTCACAATGTAGCCCAGACTGGGTTCAAACCCAGGGCTGTCTTCTTGCACCAGCCTCCTGTGTCCTGGAGTTATAGGCGCGAACCTCCATGCACAGCTGGTTTTCACTTTTGCCTAAGGGTCAATACTGAGAACCTTCACTATCCTGCCCATTGCTCCTAGCCTATTTGGGAATTTGACTGTTCTCTTCTAGTCCTGATTTCTTGGAGTTCTGATAAACAGTTTCAGCACCGTCATGCGGAACTTCAGCAAGGGTTACTCCGTTTTAGTCTACCAGACAATTGAAACAATGAACCCCAAAGAAATGGGGATTTCCCCAGGAATCTCAATCCAGCCAAGGGCTCAGCCAGAGGAGGGGGTTGTCTCCCTGAAATAAATCTCACACAGCTTCAATGACTTCTCAGACTACCTTGTAGGAGAGATTGAAGCTCAGACAGTGACGGCCCAGTGGTGGCCAGGGCCACTCTCTGACCAGGACTTCTCAGATGCACATCCTCGGCCCCCATTTCAACTTGACTCTCACTTCAAGAACCCGAAAACAGTGTTGGGGAAGTCCCCGGAACTACTTGTTCCTCTTCCCAATGTGGCTGCATTAAATAAAGCTCCTTTTTCTGCTTTCTGCTGTTTACCTGACTCTTTCAATTGACTTACTGGGGACGGGTGGCCAAACCCAGCGTGGCTCTGACCCCCCCAAGTGTGGAAGCACTGGGCAGTAGGCTAGTTGAGTCTCCCTGGTTGTAGGATGTACTTTTATAGGTCCCCATACCTGCTTTGGAATTGTCCTCCCAAGCCAGTATCATAGATGTGATAACAGCAGCATGTGAGGTGGCTGCCTGCCTCCCTCCCGATTGCTTTGACAGTGTGTTTGAAGCTTCCATTGGGGGAGATCAGAAAAGACACCTTTGATTGAAGACCATCCTTCCTCTGTTGGGCAAGGTCATTCTCTTCCACTGCGTGCACAGCTAGAGGAGGGATATACGTGGACCAATGAAGGAGGTGGGGGACCCCACCCAGCCAGCCAGTTTCAGCTGAATCAACGCTGGCAAGTAATGTGGTAACAGATGTTGCAGCCAGATCGCCCTCACATCCACTGTTACTGCTTTGAAAAGACCAGACATCACCTGCGTCAATCACCAGCACGCTGAGAGGAGGCCCAGCTGTCGACTCCATGTGAGAATTTACATTTCTTTGATGACCTTAGACGGGGCAGTGATTTCCTGTCAGAAAATACTGAGACTTCCTGAGCGCTTGCACCATTCCAACGTTGGCAGAAAATGAAAAGGACTGAAGGATGAAAGACTCACTTATGGAAAGAGCTGGAGTTCCTGAGAGCTTGTCTTCCATATCCGGGTAATCATCTCCTCCTATGTGAATCAGATGAATAAAAAAATAAAATAAAATAAAAAATGGAGGGGAACAAAGGCAGGAGGCTTTCTTCTGTGGTGGTTTGAATTTCAAATATCCCACACAGGTTCACGTGCTTGAACACTTGGGCCCCAGCTGGTGGTGTTGCTCGGGAGAAGCAGCCTTGCTAGAGGATGAAGGAGCTGGGGACTGGCCTCGGAATTTTATATCCTGCCCTTTTTCCTGTTCCTTCTCTTCTTCCTGACTGCTGATGTGGTGGGGCCCTCAGCCGCCCTCTCCAGCTGCCATGTCTACCCACCAGGATGGATAGTTACCCATTAGAACGATGAGTCAGAATTAACCCTTCCTACCCAGTTACCCATTAGAACGATGAGTCAGAATTGACCCTTCCTACCCAGTTACTTCATCAACTGTCCTGTCAAATCAATGTGTAAGTAGCGAGGACATCCTCCCGCACAGCCAGTAAGGAGGCACACTAGACTTTGGTGTGTTTACACACTCAACAGCCCGGCACCCCTGTGTCAGTACAAGTTCTAAACGCAGCACATTGTCCCTCTCGTTATTTTGCTGAAGTGTAGTGCTACCATGCAGATCCTTCCCACAGCTTTCCTTCCTCACCCAGCGCCCTGTCCCACCCTCCAACACCTGCGTGGTCTCTCCCTGGAAACGCACTGGCCACACTGGCCGGGAATCAGGTAGGCCATCTTCACTCTCCCTCCCATCCTCCAGCTCCTCAGTCTCATCCCCAGGCCTGTAGTCGACTACCTGCAAGGGGGGGGGGCTCTCTTCCCTCTTTTCCTCCATTCCCTGTGGACCCCACAGATCCTCACAGCAAACCCAGCTCCCCTCCCTCCTGTGGACCCTCTCCCCCTCCAGCCCTTCTAGCCTCCCCGTTCCTTGGTGTCAGCTCCCAATACCAAAAAACAAGTTCTACCTGGGACCCCCAGAGGCACACCCACAGGGACTCAGAGCACTCCCTATCAGGCTATCTGCAGCCATTACAGGCTGCTAAGATCCAAAAAAAAAACCCAGAAACCAAGGAATGGAAAAACCCACCCAACAAAGACAAGACCAGATATCAACATCTAGAATTACAATCATACTAAATCCAGATGCCTAGATGCCAGCTTAAGAACACAGTCAAGGGCCGGGCAGTGGTGGCGCACGCCTTTAATCCCAGCACTCAGGAGGCAAAGGGAGGCTGATCTCTGAGTTTGGGGCCAGCCTGGTCTACAGAGTGAGATCCAGGAAAGGCTCCAAAGCTACACAGAGAAACCCTGTCTCGGGAAAAAAAAGAGAGAGAGAGAGAGAGAACACAATCAATAACAGCCAGAGCAATGTCTCCACTGGAGCCCAGCAACCCTACTACACTAGGCCCTGAAATATAGCTGAAGCACAAACAAGGACTTCAAAAGAGCTATTCTGAATGTGCTCAAGGACCTTAAAGAGGATGTGAATAAATCCATTAATGACACCTATGAAAACAGTGGGATGAAATGAAGAAACAGCTCAAAGCCTGCAGGTGAAAACAGAATCAATAAAGGAAATTACAGACAGAGGGAAAGCTGGAGATGAAGAATTTAGGAACTTGAACAGAAGACTCAGCGGCAAGCCTCACCAACAGAATACTAGAGACGGAAAAGAGATTCTCAGGCACTGAAGACAAGATACAAGAAATGGAGACCTCAGTTAAGGAAAATGTTAAATACTGTTAAAAAATCCAGACATAAGACACTCAGGAAATCTGGGACACAATAAAAACACAAAATCTACAGATAATTGAAATAGAGGAAGGAGAAGAAACCCTGGCCAAAAGCACAGGAAATATTTTCAACAAAATCATAGAAGAAAATTTCCCCAACCTAAAGGAGGAGGTGGGTGGGCTGGAGAGATGGCTCAGAGGTTAAGAGCACTGGCTGCTCTCCCAGAGGTCTTGAGTTCAATTCCCAGCAACCACATGGTGGCTCACAACCATCTGTAATGAGATCTGGTATATATATATATATTATGATTTTGTTTTTATGGGAGTTCTGT